TGAAAGCCAACTCGACGCCCTCAGGACTGTGAGGGAGTCGGCCACCCCACTCACTGAGAGAGTTACGAAGTGCGTGGGTTCGCGCGAGTTCTGTGAGGCGGCTGGCAGGACTTGGGGCCGTGTGGGTGGTAACATTGTGATATGTTAAGTGTTTGGTGTTGGGATCTTCCAAACTGAATCAGTTTGGGTGCACTGTTTGGGTGGTGGATGTTTCGCTGTGAAGCTTTGCGAGGAAGATTGTTGTTGTGTGTGGTGATAAGGAGATATTTGAGGGAGTTTGGGACAAACATAAACACTTAATGACCTTAGTTTACGAGCTACCAGTATGTAATCCGTTGATTGCGTGTTGTTTTTGAGTCATGGTTCTTAAAGATTTTTGTTATGACGAGAAGGTCACCTAGTTTATTGTCTAATGATGTGCAACAAGCTCATAGCTTTGTTTTAGTAAGCTGGTTGTGGAAGGTCAAGGAACCGTTTTTTTTTTAAACGGTGTTGTGTTATTTTATTTTAGACATGCTCTGCATTATTTTAGTGCTATTTCCGACCACGAAGATAACGTAAATGATGCGTTTTAAGGTGACCATTGCCAGATTTTTTTTTATAGATGGCTCACCTTACGATGTGTCATGACGATCATCGTAAGAGATAGGTATTTGTAATAGCACTGTGTGCTTCATAGTTATTCAACATGTTGGATGACGATGCCTGGTACGACGAGAACAGGCCCGAATGATAAGTGTTTTGCATGCCAATGCTGGCAAATAACTTTATGAAAAGTGTTTATGACCGGCTTAGTCCTGGAAACAATACAGCATGTTACATCCCGAAACAATAATTCACGTAATATTCATTTGTTCCAATGTCGCTGGATCTTACTTGTGGGGATTGGCAGACGTCATTTTAGACGAGAAGGGTACCTGAAAACAGGCACTTTCTCACTAAAGTTCTCTTTTGCTCTCCTCTGAACGTTTTTAGGTGCAGTCTAACGTCAGCATATATTAAATATTCACCAGTTCACATCACATGAATACCTAACTGTTATACTTCACACAAAACGTTCGTTATGTATTATAATTGTATTTACCACTTGCAGTTGACTATTCATTGTTCGAGTCTGTGTATCACAGCTTCACTGTGCGATTCAATATGTAGCGTGTTCAAAAACTCGCAACACATCAGCGTAGTGTGTTTGTTACCGCAAAAAACATTAAAAGCTCTTATACATCTTTACCTATCAAGCAGGATCTCAGCAGGTTCGATATTTTGTCTTTTCTTCGGACCAGACTCGTAAACGCCTCTTGACATTGTTATTCGGTCACGCTCATGTCTATATCGGTAACCAGTTTCCCTCCGCCGGACCGGCCCATGATTCTGAGCCCTCTCCACCGCAGCTGTGCCTCCCAGCGACACGGGGACCGTCGGAAGCGGCACGGGCGGCGCGGAGGATCGGCCCTACACGTGCCAAGTTTGCGGCATCGGCTACCGCTCCTTCCTATCTCTCCAGCAGCACCGCCATCTCCATCAGGGGCACACGGTGTGTCCAGTCTGCGGGAAAACCCTCTCCGTGGTGGCGCGGCTTCGTGATCACCTACGTCACGTGCATCGCTGGGACCAGGAGATGGTGCGAAGTGTGGTGCCGACGGCGCCGCGTCGTTCATCGGCGTCGCGTTCTGTTCGTATGCCGGTGGATGAGCTTTCGCTGAATGAGATGACCGGGGAGTCTGTGGGCGGAATGGAGATGCGCCCGACGTAAGGGAACGACGGTGCAGTGAGTCGTTTGTCGGTGTCATGAGGATGTATTTCAAAGCTTACCAGCCCATTAAGTTGTGTGGTCGTTTGGAAATGGTGCATTTGCATTTTGCATTCGTTTGATAGTCATGCTAATTTTGTATGTTTTGCAAAATGTTCTTGCTGTCCATAAGGTTGGTGGGAATGTATCCGAAGCTAATCGGACTTAGTTCAGTATTAGATATGTTTTTACCTAAGGGCAATGCTTATTTTCTGTAGTTCAGTATTAGATATGTTTTGACTCAGGACAATGCTTATTTTCTGTTTGGTGAACACATGCTTGATGTGTTTTGCAGTGGATCAGCGCGCATCTTTTGATATATAATGTGTTCCCTGTTTATGACTACCTATTGGAGGGTTGCGTCGTTTTTGTGTGGTTTATTTAGGCATTGGTTCCGAAGACAAGCAACGAAAAGCACGCGGTAAATGTTGCATGTCGGAGGCCTACTAATGTGCCATTTGGAGGGCATTGAATGGACAACATCGATGTACCTATTAGTGATAAATCAGAAGAATCTTACTACTAGACCATAGTGGGCTCAGATAACAAATAAATGATGTGTCTATTCACTTACTCTGGTTTTCTTTTTGTATCTGATACACGTAGGGCAGGAACCGCTAATGGTTTGAGAACTCTGAATGTGAAAAAGAACTTCTATTGAATACGTTTTCAGTGTTTTCTGTCATGTACGTTCGACAAAGCAACAACAAGCGAACGTCAGTGAGTTTAATCATACGCACCCTTACTGGATATTTTTTTCATTCTAGCTCAGCTCCTCAGCATTTTTTTGATTTACCAATGGTTTCTGTTCTTGAATGCTTGATATCAGAAATACAATGCACTGCTCTGACCTCTGGGGAAATCGCAGATGTTCCATATCTATACAGGAGTAACACCAACAATGACACCTTGCGGCATGACCATGGCGAAATCCTTTATCATTGGAAAGTATCAGTGATCGAAAAGCATTATAAGCTTGAAGTATAAACATCACCATTCGTTAAATGCTGACCTGTACCACATGAATTTGTCTCTGATTCGACAGCACATCAAAGATCTCCCCAACTTCCCATCTCTTCAGCTAACACCCCATCTCTCCGTCGCCTTATTCACTCTCTAAATGTGTGTCATATCGGCTGTTTCAGCTCCTGCTCGCAGCGTGTGCGACATTTGCGGCAGCTCCTACAAGCACCGTGAGTCGCTCTACCACCATCGCAAGAAGCACCTGGGGCTCACCAAGTGTCCGGTCTGCGGCAAAGTGTGCTCCATCGTGGCAGACCTGCGACGTCACATGGAGGTGGCGCATCAGCTCTCTTCAGAGGATGTGCGCCGCATCATTCCGACCAAACCCAAGGAGCGCATCTCCTGGGGACAGTTCATGGCTGGAAGATGAACGAGCGATCCATGGGAGGTGTACATGTGACGCACTCGCTGGTACCTTGTGTCGTGACTACGTGTGGCAACGCACACAAACACAGTGTCAGAACACGACGGTGTAACATGACTTGCGAACACCTTTGTGTTGGTGAGAGTGACGTCTTCAGGCTGAAAATCATTAGTGAAATAACGAACACCAGAGAACCGATGAGAAACTTGCATCTTGGCGCCCTGACACCATGTTTTTGTTCGACGTTTTTGATCGGTTGAATAGGTGTAGATTATGCTCACGGACGCGTGCTCTGCGAAACGAACGGATTTGTGGTCATTTGGCGGTGGTTTTGGTATGTTTTGTCACCTGTATAAAGCAGTAGATCGTTTGCCATGCTCAGGAAGATGCCAGTGGGATATTGGTTGATGTCGAACATGTTAGCTATTTAGTTTGTATAGTTTTCCGATCGTGAGGTAAGCTATTTAGCAATCATTATTCTTAAACCATTGCTCGCACACCTAAAATAGGACTTTTAGAACTCGTGATGCTAAGACGTTTTCGTGTTTTAGGTGTGTGCTGGTTCTGCTCTACTGGTAGTAATTCTGTTGGTGGATTTCATTTGTACTATATACTCGTTCACTTATGTCATATACTAGTACAGAAATGTGGCTACTGGCTTTAGTTAAGTGGTTCCAATTAGCTCTCATCATGATGCGTCTTTTTCTGAACTATTTAGGTAGACTGTGTTGCGTTGAGTTCCGTATTTTTTTTTTCGTATAAAAACCTAGGTCAACGCTGTCATAACGGTTAAAACAAATTATTTTGATACTATTTAATGAACGATGAACCCTCTACACGTTGTATGCTTGTCATTTGTATTAGCACATGCATATTTATCGATAAGCTATGCTTTTAGAGTTGCTTTATCATGTTCAGTGATCTATGAAGTCCTGCCTTTAGCTTAAGCTTATCTTCTCCAAGTTGGATAGTTCTCTTCCGCGTGTACTAGTCGATGTTCACGAGAAGGGAATTGGAACGCACAAGCATCAATGTGTAATGATGTGTTATAAATGCCGCATACTTTAAAATCGTATTTTTTCTGTCTGTCTCCTTGATCTGCTCTGAACAGACTTATGTGCGCGGATGAAGATTCGTGGGGTCGATCATGACCTCTGAAGTACAGACGCTCTAAACACGAACCGCTATCATTGAGATTCGTCGTAGCACTCTTATTTTGGGGAACGTATTTGTGATTGGAAAAAGCTGGTATGGAAGACGCGAGAGCATCAAACACAAGCCAGGAAGGCGATACACTTAAGGAAATGAACAAAACCGTTGTTTCGATACGGGATGAGAGGCTTGAAGTTCTAAAGAGCTACACAATCACACGTATTAATTACAGTCGCAGTACTTAATCATCCCACATAACTTAAAGCTTGGATCATGGCAACATGCTCAGTGCTCACTCCATTCAGCCAATATGTGTATCTGCTTGTCTAATAGCTTTTTATCCGTGAGTCAATGTGCGTTTTGTAAATCCTTGGTGAACAATAGCTCGAGCCAAACCAGCATTCCTTTTATATATAAAAGATAGCGAACGGGTGAAAAACAAAGGGACGAGCGAGCGAAACAGACAAACGCAGAGCGAAGCCGAGCCGGACAATCGCCCTTTGACTACGCTTTAAGGACTGGGTCCATCGCGCGCTAGATGACTTATTCTCGCGATCAATGAAGCCCAAATCTCTCGCATGGTGACGTGGTGATTTCCTCGTGCATCTCAAGTGAACTCTGTCCATACTGACTACTGACTAGTGACTACTGACTACCGGCTCCTTCCGACAGGCGTGGTGCGCTGCCAGACCTGTGACCGGTCCTTCAACACTCGTCGCTCGCTCACCAACCACCTTCACCGGTTCCACGAGCGTCGTACCGCATGTCAGCTCTGCGGAGTCGCCTACTGCAGTCTGCCGTACCTGCGCTCCCACCTGGTTCGCAAGCACAACCTCAGTGCGGCTGAGGTGCAACGTCTGGCGCCCATGAAGAATCGTTATATGTCGTGGACGATGCAAGAAAATTTGCATCAGGCAAAACTCGGGCAACGCTCGGGTTTTTCAAGTGAAGTCGGAGGATTTGGGATGCCGAGCCAAGCGCACTACCAGGGGGAGGGGTATGCGTTGGAGATGCAGAGACTTGGTCAGCTGGAACGCGTCTCGTATGGCGGTGGTGGAGACGTCCGTGGTCAGGAGATGCCGACTGGTGGGGGCTCAGCTTCAGGACAAGGGTCGAGGCCTTCTCATGGTCAGGACGTGGGTGAAGGAAGTAGCAACCAGCAGTGCTCGCCCGCCGTTGAAGGAATGGAAGCGGGACAATCTCGCGTAGAGTGGCACGAAGGATCCTCTTCAGAGAGGGACTATGATGTCGCTAAGGATCACTATCAATAAAGTTCCTTGGTTCAGGCTGGACGGTGGGTCCATTTGCGAAAGTGTCTTCGCTTGATGCGTGAACCTCGTAATCTTGCGAAGGGCGATGCTGCTAGTTTCTTTAGCTCGGCCCATATGCTTTGAAATCATGTCGATGGTGCGTGTACAATTTTCTTGTAGATATTGTTCAATGTGTTGCAACTTGCAGACGAAAACACAAGCTTAAAGGCAGCACGGGGAGTGGTTGCGTTGTTCCCGTATGCATTGCGGTGTATGATATGGTTACGTGTACGCGAAGTGCACAGTGTTTCGAAACATGTAGGGATGTTGTAAATTTTTGTACTTTTCAATGGATGATCTGTTCGATCTGTTCGTTATATCGAACTATTATTTAGCTCTGTTGTTTGGATTCCGTTGCTGAAGATATGCTTGTTTTGTTATTTCATACAGTTTTATCTGTTTAGACTGTAGAATAATAGGCATCGTTATCGCTTTATGGGATAGGTGCCGCAGTTCCTCACACTTTCACTTTACCTTTCAAAGTAACCATAATTCTCATTTTTCTTCACACAATGTGAATATTTCGCCTTTTCCAATAAAGCACGTTGAACGAATGAAGCTGAATGTAACTTCTTGCACAGTAAGCTACTTTTTAAAGAGTGATTAATGGTTCAGTGAAAATGGCATGTCTTGGCGCGTTTAGCGGAATCTTCTTCGTATAGTTCGTATTTCGTATAGTTGTTATTCGTATAGCGGGAAGTGTTGGGCACAACTGAGTATGTCCTTTGATTATTCTAACTGCTAGTGCACGCAAATGTTTATGATTCTGCAAATGCAAGAAATGTGACATGTGCATATGTATTTGGGAAAAGCTGATACTGATCCCTCTTATATTCATGTGACACAGACTGAACCTTGCGTAGTTTTCAAGCTGATGTTGATAACACGTTGTTGAGCTCTACAGATATATAATACAAATTAAAGCATTCAGTTTAGTTTGGAGATGCAGTGGGTGTTTTTCATGGAAAGGATTGCGTCCGACACAAACGCTTGTGTAAGGTAATAGTCAGTGTTTAGTTATTGATGAGCGGGGGTCGAGAAGAGTGCTGTATAGCTGATGGCTGAATGGCTTTGTCCAGTGTAACCCTCTTGTGATTCTATTTCACGGATTTTAACGCGTTTGACCCCATCACTGGAATATCTTCCAGTAATAGGTAATGCGGTAAGGTGTTCGAAGACGTTCCCGGCCCACCAAATCATTTTTGCCACCTCTGTTGCTGGTAAGGTTATGTGGTTTGAAAATGTCGCTCGCTGAGACGAAACATCCAAGCCACCATAAGCTCTGATGATTGGTGGGGCTCATACCATTCCTTGATCCAGCATTTGCCCCTGGCCTGGCGTGGGCCACTTTAGGCACTGAGTACCGGTCTATTTTCAGAGGGCGAAGCCGAATACTGCTGCGAGATCTGCGGCAAATCGTTCAAGAACCCGCGCTCGCGCAGCAACCACCGGCAGCTGCACGAGGGCCGCACCGTCTGCCCCATATGCTCCGTGGTCTACAGCACCTCTCACAACCTGAGGGCCCACCTGCTGACTCATCACCGCGTCTCGCCCGAGGACGTACACCGATTGGTGCCGCGACGACGGACGCGCGTGTGATTGGCTGTTAGCTGGTCAGAAGGGACGATGATTGGCGGCCGACTTGTCAGCAGGCAATGTGGCAGACGCTGATTGGCTGACGGTTCATAGATAAGATTTGGCAAGGCGATGTCTGGTGGGAAATGAGGATAACGTTTGATTGGAAATTTTTGGGTTGTGTGCCAGGGCATGTGCCAGCGTAGTGAAACGAAATGAACACTTTGATGTATGAACTTCCATGCTGTGCGTTTATTGAAACATTCAGGAACGCATCGGTAAGGTGTTAAGGAACTGCCCGACTTGTATCTCCTCCATTGCATTTCTAGCTGTTTGTGTTGAATCAGCCTTCCGTTCAGCTTCGTTACTCGTTTCAAAAGTTGCAACGTATGCCGAAGGGATAGGCGGCTATATAGATTGGTATTTGGAATCTTCAGTTGGATTTTGGAGAGTTGTGGACGTGACATTTTATTAAATGGTGAGAATGTTATCGATTTTCTATATTTTGACCAAACGGTATAACTCGAACGCTGCGGCTTTTCTCTTTCTGTGAAACTTGAAATGCAAATCGCATTGTTTTCCCAACACCGTTCCTGTATCATCCAATCAGTGAATCATGTTTTGGCGGCTTTTCAGTATGCATAAGTAACTATGCATTTACGATGTTTTCATAATTTCGTTAACAAACATTTCTTCAGTGGCAATTTTTGGCTCTAGTAATAACAAGTGACGATGGCAAATAGATGTTTTAACTACATTTATCATGTGACTATCAAGCACATATTTATGATGTGACGTGTCTGCTCGATCTGGAGCAATGCTTTTATGTTTTAACATCTATTGTGCATAGTTTTCCATCATATTTTTTAACGCAGACAACTTTATAGAAATGTTTTGTAGAAATGTGTCCTTACGTGTACTGCATGGATAATACAAAATGCATTTTCAAAATTGAGAAACCTCGTGATAGATTCGCGTCCGAGCGGGTGGAACTGTGGCAGTCGCTGATGTTCGCGCTTTGGAACCCGTAGTGTCGGTAGTTTCCCCACGCTCTGATGAAAAAAAACTTTTGTTTGACTGTCAACATACATATTGCCATACACGTCGACCCGGCTTAGAGCTTAGAGCATTAGACGGCATTCCCTGACGCTGAGTATCATACTATGCCCCTATTAAATGAACGAACGAGCGAGCTAAACGTGCTCCCAGCTATCGTCCTCGTCCTTTCCTTTTGCTGATGTTATCACATTTCACAACTATCGTTCACAAAATTGCCCACCGGTGCCCAGTGGCGGCGGTACACCTTCAATTAAGGGGGGGGGGGGGCAATGCCGACTTTTGGTCCCAATCTTTCCATGCAACGCCCATAGGGCTAATGTTAAAATGCCAAAATCAAAGGGGGCACGGTGCCCGGTGCCACCCCCGTTCCCCGCCTATGCCGGTGTCTGTTGAGTTCATTCACGCCCATTTTCAGGACCGGGAAATGGCGGCTGCTACGACTATCCCTGCGAGGTGTGCGGCAAATCGTTCAAGAACCCCCGCTCTCTCATCAATCACCGGCAGCTGCACGAGGTCGCACGTTCTGCCCTCTGTGCAGCGGCGTTACAGCACTGTCCACAGCCTACGCGCCCACCTGTTTGGGCATCATAGACTGTCGGGGGAGGATTGTTAACAAAATGGTGCCCAGTCGTCGCGTACGTTCCGATAGAGCGCGCTGCTGTCGCAGTGAGCTTTGTGATGTCTCCGATAGGTGGCATTGCTGGGGATTACTCCGCGTAGTATTCCGGTGTTGTTGTGATAGAATTTTGTCTTGGAGGAGATTTTGGTTGGGATTCTCGTGTTTGACAAAAAATGTTTGTTTGTCATGATAACTGATTGCTCATTGCAGTAGCATGTGTCCACGTTTGCATAGAGTTGCTGAATTTGATATATTATTTTCGAGAATAGAAGAAAACAGCTTGTCATTAGCAATGTTGAAATGTGTAGGTATTACGGCTAGGATAGCGATGTGTATATATTTTTTTTTAGAACCTTGCTTATTACAGCAGTTCATTATGTTGCATGATGATAACCATGAAAACGCCATGACATTTGACATGCGGTTGTACTGGACGTATGCCAAGGACAATCAAGGACGTTCTGATGTAGGATCATATCCATTTCGAATACAACTTTTCTGTTCTTTGTACGTAGCTCGCGATCGACGAGGTGCAACATCACTGCGTCATGTGTTTGTTTTTTTCTTCACAATAGCACGCCATGACAGCGTTTAGTATTTTATATACATATATCCGTATTCTATGCTTCGTGACTCATCACATGTTCAACGACCAACGTTTGAAATGAGCACTCTGTGGTTTAGGACTGTCCATGGCATA